ATAAGAACCATTACATGATTTGTATCCTATAGTTTATATCGGAACTATAGAGTATATCAGAAGTTGATAGATGTCTAAAGCACATTATGTTAAATATATAATATGAAACCTTTGATAAGTAGCTACACTATAGATGCAATATTCACTATATAACTTAAAACACTTTATATCAGTATTATTATCAAATATTTATCTAGTCACTTTCCTCCCAGTGAGAAGATAATTATTCTTTTCAAAAAAGAAAACACTGGTTTTATTGACCTGTTTTGACTCGAACTGATATGCGTTTTTGCGTGTGTACACTCGGGTCACAAATAATCTTATCAAAATTTTGATTAATTTAAATCATTTTCTATACTATATTATAAATTCAAATATTTCAATGTAATTGATTGAACAATTCTATTAAATACTAATCAAAGAATAAAACGAAATTATCTAACTTTACTTAAGACCTAAAATTACTTCAAAATAAATTATTATAATTGAATCTATTTTACTTATAGGTACAACAACTACTAATTAAATAGAATATAAACTTTCTATATAAAAAATATCGATTATTTAACAATTAAAAGGACATTCTTTACACAAGCATCTCAAAGGACACAAGCTTCTTACGCACGTTTACGTTCAATTCACCAAACTTCAGACTTCAGAGTTCCAAACACGCCGCTTCAGACACAAATACTTTCACTTAGTAAAATAAATTAATATTTACAATTTTCCAATTTGCAGATACGCGTTCATTAAACAAAATTATTTGTTAAAGTTTTATGTGTATAATATTTTACAACTTCCCTAAACGGTAAATACGCACTACACACCGGCAAAATTATTTAATCAATAAAATGTATCCAAACTCAAGTGCGTCACAAAATGACAAATAGTGTTGCCAGTGCGTTTTTTTTAATACTAAATTTCATTTATACACAGTTTACACTTACAATCATGTAATCTATCTCATGTTTGAGGCATACTTAATACTATGTTCAGACAGCCTAATTTCCTTAATTTCGTAAAAATGAAATAAAGTTAATTACGAGAGTATTGCCCCAAATGAATGAAATCATATGTTTATTGTCTATAAATCGAATCTTATAAATTACATGTACCAAACACCATTTATAAACTAGGAAATTTTAAAAGTTTTTTAAAATTAGATAAGTTTAAAATCAATTTGAAGAGCCTTAAAGTAATATTTAAGGTGAAGAGGGTGATAAGCTACACCAATTTTCTACTGCAGGTATGATTTATAGAATATTTCGATTAAAGTAGAATAATAAATTCTAGGACTTCTCTTATAGGATAAATTCTGCAATAATAAATTTTTAAACTATGTATATAAACAATAAGAATCGAATCTTAATTAGAGATTTCTATGCAATTAAATTAAATGTCTACATTACGCCGGAAGTATTATTGAACAACAAAAGTGAAATAAAAAAAAATGTAAAATAATTTATTAAAAATTAAATTAAAATTATTAAAGTTATTAAAAATTATATTTTATTATTAGTTGACATTAGTTTCGTCAGTGCATTCGAGCACTTTTATTCTCTTCTAACTGCGAGGTTTCTTCATATATATATAACACCCCTACGCCTCAACTGGATTATTGTTTATCATTGTATCAGACTAAGCAATAACGTTATTTCAACCACTGTACACAGAAATCACATTGAAAATTTTGCGATGTTTAGCAAAGCACATTTAAATGCTGTACGTTAACCTTCTTCATTGGAAGTTCAGAATGTACCTTACTCAAAAGCATATTTAGTTAGCTGTTTTAATAAATTCTCCTCACTAGCCATATAAATGGATATTGAGATCACAACACAATTAGTAGGGACCACCCTCTCCCTCTTGAGGTGACCTTGTTTCCAAAAAGCCAACTTGAGCTCATATGATGACCCATTGTGGTAAACCCGTCTAGTTATTCTCGTTCCCATTTTTCCTTCCGCAAGTATAACAGCGGTTTTTGCGACATACGCAGCGTTTAAGTATCAGCAATGATTTATCGCTTTTCATACTGATAATATATCATCTTTGAGAATCTGTTCACATCGCAATATATTCAATATCTGTCATCATCATACAATTTAAACTTTTGTCTTTAATTTTTATATAAAAGAAAGAAGATTACCTCCGATTTAAGCACGCAAACCGGAACTAAGAAATTTTCTTGAAAATTGCTATTATATATATTACTATTATCTGAGTGATGTATTTTAACATCGTAACCATAAAAACAGATATTAGAACACATTAATAAGAAATGTTTAATAGTACGAAGGGGAAAAAGATAAAGCACCCTTTTATTGACTTAAGCTTTTAAATATTGGCGATGGGTAATAAAAAAATTGAGTTTTGTAATTTATTTTATTAATTTGCCTGGTGTCATAGGCTTTCACTGAAATCGAACTACATCAATTTAGTTATTTGAAAAATACAATTTATAATTATGACTAACGTCTCCGGCAGCAAAATAAAAAACATCATACTAAATAAATAATTTAATGGTGATGCTCAGCAGCCTCTTTAGCCTGAGCCGCAGCCCAAGCAGCTTTGTTTTCAGGTGAGTTAGCTGAAAAAAAAATTTTTTTCATTTATTAAATCACATAAATATTTTTAAAAGTGCATTACATAGTTTGCTGATTTTATAGAAAACAGGAATGCTAACTCCAATAGCAATAAAGTAGTAACGCCAGATCCATTGGTTCTTAAGGTAGTACTTCAAGGGAAACTGAGCGATTTTAGCAGAAAATGTGTATGGATATTTCATTGGGCGACCAGCGGGCTTCTCTGCAACTGCTTTATCTGCCATTTTTCCTTCTTTTGCTGCACTGCTATTAAAAATTTTATATTAAAAAATTTCAAATTAAAATTCTTATAGTTGTGTAACCTTTCTGAATTTATGAAACATGTACGTACCTTGAGCGAATGGTGGAATATAAGAACAGCTAAAATGTCAAATGTGTGAAATTTCTAACTATTCACAATGGTGGAAAGCAATTGTAAATTCACAGAATTAAATTTTTGTTAATATGCTTTTAGTAAAAATATATGTAAAAATTTTTTATAAATATTTTTTTATTTTTGTTTTTTTGTAGTAGACTACTAAGTTATTTGTTATATATTACTTGTTAAATATTATTTTTATATTTACATATGAGTGTTTAAGGATTATTAGGGCTACCCAGACCAGATGCGATCGCGGGCCAATACAAATTGTACAGATTGAAGGGCCGAAGAAATAAATACTTACATTCATAGTTGTTATTATAAATACATTATAACATTATTAATACGGTTATAATGTTAAATTTAGTTTTATTAATTTTTCAAATTAAATTTATTCATGTAGAATGCCATAATAGTAAAATAATGTGGGTTTACCTTTACAGCTTAAGAAAATTTGTGTAATTGTAGTAGATTAAAAACATGACGCGGACCGCATAAACATTAGCCGCGGGCCGTACTTTTGGCAGCCCTGATATAGTCGATGCTACATGTCTGTACACCAAGTATGCGCTTTGCTATACACTTTGCAATTTTACCGCACTCATGTCTACAAACCGAAATTTGGTACGCATACTTGAATATATACAGTGCCATTTGGTAGCATGCATACTTGGTCTACATACACGTAGCATTGTCTATATCATGCTTAATGCAATGTATTAAAGTGAAGTGCAGTTAAATATTTAATAAAAATTCCAAATATCAGATTTATTAAAAAATTTTTAATTGATTTTTTCACACCTTATATTTAATTTATTTTTAAAAGCATTAAAATTTTATTTAATATTTTTAAAAATAATATGCATATGAAAACAAATTAGTTTTGTGCTACCGTCTTAATAAATAAACAAAATTTAACATAAAATGGAATTTAAAAGAGTCTAATAAAAGTTTTTTTTTTGTTATACATACATTTCCTTTTGTTTTTATTAAATAAATTTTTTGGTAGCCCTTATTTTTCTCATTATGTTATGTATTTATTATTTTTGTTTTATATTTCTTTTTGTTTATTTGTTTTTATTAAATAATTTTTTTGGTAGCCCTTATTTTTCTCATTATGTTTATGTATTCATTATCTCTATTTTATATTTCCTTTTGTTTATATGTTTATGTTTTTATTAAATTTTTTTTTGTACCCCTTATTTTTTTCATTATTTTATGTATTCATTATCTTTATTTTATATTTCCTTTTGTTTATATGTTTATGTTTTTATTAAATTTTTTTTTGTACCCCTTATTTTTTTCATTATTTTATGTATTCATTATCTTTATTTCATATTTCCTTTTGATCGGCGAAATTTTGTATTTGTTGAAGCGAAAATTGCCAATACAAATCGCTGCAACTAAACTGAAAAAAACCCAAGTACTTCCGCTACAAAAGTCCATATGTTTTTTGTTCGACTCCTTTTTTCTCAATTCCTTTATTCTCAGAAAATTATTCAACAACTCGTCACAGGTAATTTTGCATTGTGAATTAGCATTATTTTGACAGTACGAAGTTAAACTTGTAGCTGTGAAGTCCAAGGTGTTTTTGTTTTAACTGACGCGAAAGTGATTGTTTGCCGGAAAAACTTTACTTTTTTAAATTGCGTGTTATTTGAAGATTTTTTAATATGTCAAATACTTTTGAATCCTGTCCATTCTTTCCTCAACATCGGGTTCAAAGTCATAGAATGGCTAAACACATATTCCAATGCAAGTCAAAATACAGAGGGCCTTATTTAGAGAGGTGTTTATACAACGCACAACATTATATACCAGAAGGTAATATGGATCAGCATTTGGAATCCTGTGAGAGTTATCTTAATTTACAGCGCAACTTTAACAGAGGAATACCCCGGCAGGCTACTAATGAATGTCAATACCACGCAACATCATCATAAAATATTTGATTTTATAATAATAATTAAGTTACATATCGTTTAGATTTACTTACTAATGCACCTTTTATATTAATAAATTACAAATAGCGCGTATTATTTTTGTAAAATAAGTGTTTTATTTCTTCTCAACAATTAAAAACAAATTATTAACGAATTTCTACATTAAAGTTTTTTACACATTCATTGGCAATGAGTTTGTGTATTTCATTTACTTCAGCTTGGGTAAGCGTTCGTTCCATATGCCTGTAAGTGATCCTAAAACATAGACTTGATCTACCTGTTTTGGGATGTTTAAATTTGTCTACAAGGCTTATCTGTAATAGAAATTTTGTTCAATATTAAGTGCTTGCATTATTTTAAAGAATATTTACCTGTTCTACTACATCACCGGCGACAGTACGAACCAGATCATAAAAATCATTTGCTACAAAATCTGTTTCTGTTTTTGTGTCTTCGACAAGTGGTAACCAAAACGACAAATCATTCCTGCATTGCGGATATGTTGATATGGACTTATATTTTGGTATATCTACCAAATTTTCTTCATTAAACTGATTTAGAAAACCACTGTCAGTCGACCAAAATAAACGTATGTCAGGTATATCGAATAAAACCATTGCTAAACGTTCCAAACCTACGCCGAAGGCATAACCGATTGAATTTTTGGCACCAGCATGTTGCACGATTTCATTGCGCATTATGCCACTTCCTAAAACTTCTAACCAATTACCTTTATGAAATATTTCTAGTTCCCACGATGGTTGTGTAAAAGGAAAAAAAGTATCAACCCAACGATATTCCACATCTTTACCAAACAAATCCATTGCTAGTCCCTGCAGTACTTGTTTCATTTCATATTCCATCAATTTGACTGCCTCCAAGCTGTGGCAAGCTTGTTTTGTCTGATCTATACATTTTGTTAATGGATAAAAAACTTGTTTATTTGTGTTTGCAGAATTTTCAAAAATGTCTAAGTCGGCATTGCGTTCAAATAATCTTTCTTTAGTTAATAAACGCACCGCATCAAGTTGATGAAATACCGGAAAGTGAGTGCTATCAATTTCATCTCGTCTGTAAACTTCGCCGCAAACAAGAAAATTATCTAACCCACTGGATATCAAGTCCACTTGATGAGCGGTTGTATGTGCTCGTAGTAAATAATTACTATTAATGTAATAACAATCTGATTTAGAGCGACTTACATGATCGGGAGGTATAAGCAGATTGTCAAAATTCTGTTGTATTGTCACTACAGGATTTTGTTTGTCATACACGGAAAATAAAGGATTCCCACGTGAGTTGCGGTAGGCTCTGTAGAAATAATTAACTATTCGTTGTTTGACGATTGAAATGGGATGATGCTTCTGTAGATGTTTATTCATTCCCAAGTACGACAGTATTTTTGGTGTAACATTAGTCATATGATCTGTTATATATTCTTGTCCATTTACTTCTAAAGTTCGTTTCTCCACAGGAACATTTGAAGCAAAACGTTTTACTGGTGGCAATTGTCCTTTGTAATTGTGGAAAGTAATTCCAACTTTCGATAAATATTTTAAACGTTTACCGAAAATCATTTTGTAGTTTATTATAAAGCTCAAGTGTAAGATGTTAAAAAACTTTTTATATTGTATTTTTAAAAACTTTTTTTACTTAACAGCTGCTTGTCAATTTCTATGCACTACATTTTTGAATGCACATATTAGTTTTTAATCAAACATAAATAAATTTGTTAACGGCATGGTGTACACAAATATTTTCTGGTACTAATAAGTTAAAGCCATAAAATAATTTGGTATAGAAATTTTTATTATTTATGTGGAATAAAAGTAAAACGATAATTTTTTTAGCTCAAGGTATGTTTTGCAAACATTAATTTTAACCATACTAAATAATAAATGTTTTCCATAAAACAAAACTCTAGTTAATTCAGTATCGTCATTGCATACACAAAACAAAATGTATGAATTTATGATAGGTAAACGATATTAATTATCATAAAACTGAGTGACTTTAATTTTTTTATTAATTAAAATAACTGAGTGACTTGTTTTAATTTCCATAGTATTAATAAGCTGTTCATAGAAAAGTTGCCATTTAAACTATCCTCACCTCTGGACCTACATATATATTTCTATATATTTCACTTACATCTACTCATCCATTGTGTTGTGAGTATTTTTATACATAACAGTTTTACTTTTGTGTTAAAAGCTAATTAATAAGTATTTAGAAAAATTGTTAGCATAATATGGGAAAAATGATTTTCACGCTTATCGAAATAAAATTGAAAAAGAAACTACATTCAGCAATTAACAGCACAATTATCAGAGATCACAGATTATCACAAGTATCACAGATTATCACAGCACAGATCTGTTCGAATGTGAAAATTAATAAAATTATAAATGCGGCTCTTTCAGAACATCAACAACGTGTCACGCTTTAAAAATTTATGTGTTATGTTCTTGAATTTCATCTAGAGCTATATTTTAATATTTTTTTTAAATAATTTTTCGGAAATGGTTTGAAATTGATCCGTCATAGAAGCTTATTTAGTATTTGATTATTTTATGTTCAAAAATGTAGGAAAATAACAATAAAAAAGTTACAATTGCGCTGGTATGATGGATAAAGCTTTACCACACTAATGTCCAAGATGTATATATGAAATTCGAAAAACTTTTATGTAATAGTTGTACTTTGCTGAGTTGAAACGAAATATGTCAATTTGTATCACAATAACGCACTCGAACAGACCTAATATAAATTATTTGCACATTGTCTTATATTGAACACACCTCTCAGTGGAAAATTCATATTATTTGACATTTCACCGCATCTTGTCAATTCTTTACAGACTTAAGTTTGTAGCAAGTTTAAATTTGCGTAATTCGTTCAGTAAAAATTATATTTATCTGTTTAAAAAATGTCGGCTACAAAAACCATGCGTGCATTGCTGGATCAATTACGCCATTCATTGCCAAGTGGTGGCATAAAACATTCCTTGGCAGTGCGTTACATATTGGCTCAATACCAACTATTCCGTACCACGGATCAACAATTATGTAAAGCAAAGGATGAAGCATTATTCTTGGGTAGAACATATCTGACTTATCTGGCTAGCATACGTAAATATAATGAACTACATAAGGAGTATCATGGACGTGGTGAGAGAAGCGTTAAAGAAACAGCAGATATGGTTGGCTTTAAATTACCCACTGATCCAAAGTAATTCCGATATTTTAAAAGTCGAAAGTAACATAATTAAAAAAGAAATGTTGGAGAATTAGTTGTTTTTAAAATGTAATTAATATTATAATTTATTATACTTTAAAGATTTGCAATGTTATCTGTTATAGACTGCATTATAAATGCTGAAATTGACTATTTATTTTGCTTGTCAGATTTGTAGCGCTAAAACGTAATAAAATAATTAATTCTGCCTTTATAATTTCATACATAATTTACAACTTAAATTTCAATATATTTTTTTTTTCTAACTGGAAACGAAATTGCGTACAATTTCACATGTAATATATAAAATTGTAAATAAATTTTTAGAGAAGTATTCACAGAGTGTAGTTTTCTATGCTGTGTGAATGTTTTAGTAATATAAAAAACAACTTTTTAAGTTTAACAACTAACATTTATTATATATTATATTTTATTTTTATAGTTTTGGGTATAATTGCTGCGGTGTTTGTTGATTAATATTGCCAGACTCCTCTAATATATAATCAGGCTCTGGTATTGTTGGTGGTTTACGAGGTGGTTGTGGTTTAGCTGCCATGTTAGTATATGACCATGGTAGCTGACTTCTTAATTCCGCGCTTACACGTTGTGGTTGGCTTTTATTTGAAAAAGAAGGCGGCTGAGAGTATCTATCGTTTAACGGCGATGTTGGTGATAATTCCACTGGCGATGCACGGTGATCTGCTAATGGTTGGGGCGGATAATCGAGTACATCTGGATGACTAGTTGTCTGCCGATATGTGGTATTATTATTTACAATGTTAGCTTGCGGTTCAGCTTGGCGCATATCTGGTGATGGTGCACTTGGAGGATAAACAGCTATAGGCGCAATTTTATATTCTGGTGTGCGTTCTTGTACATTCAGCCTTAAATTTTGAGGATATTGTGTTTGCTGGAATTGTTGAGGCTGTTGCATTTGCTGTGCAGTTAGTTGAATTTGTGGTTGAGGCTGAATTTGTGGTTGACTCTGAATTTGTGGTTGAGTCTGAATTTGTGGTTGATGCTGTATTTGTGAATGAGGTACAATTACTTGTTCAGTAATTGTAATTTCAGCTCTTGGCGGTTCGTTTCCAGCAGTTGCTGTTGTTGGTGCAGAAGCAACATGTTTTCTACGTTGTGCTGCATTCTGTGCAATTATTTTCAAAATTGGATTATGAAACGTTAAATAGAATTAAAATTTATTAACTTACATCCTGTGCCAATACTCTTGAGAGCGAAAGACAGAAGCAAGCACCAAAAATATTCAAAAACCATATGATTACCACTCTAGAGCTTATACATGTCATAACAATAGCTGGTGTAATGAAGTAAACATCGTATGCCCTTAACTGGTTCATAACTATTTCTGGTGCAGAGATGCCTATATAGTCGAAAGTCTCATCGGCTGACTGAAAGTAATTATACAAGATAAATAAAAAATTTAACTTTTTTTCACAAAAAGTCTTACTGTTGTGTGCACTATATCAACAATATGATAACCAGTTGCTACAGCATCCAGTATGCTTCCAGCTATTATAACTAAAAACCATGGCCAAAAGACGAAAACCGTAAGTATTTTTGTAGTACGGCAACAAATTGTAACTATTTAATTGTAAAAAAATATTATTAAATATAAACAAAATTTTTAATGCTTTTAAACGTACATAATACAACCAGTGAAGTAATAACCCATGCTAAGCTTACAGCGGAATATGTTATGGCAAATATATTTGTTCTGTTAGTAATTTCTTCTGATTTTGCCCAATCAATGCCAATATCGATTGATACCTCTCCATTTATTGAGATAGATGGATTACCACAATCTTGATCTGTGATTGAATTATTTTTTCATTTAATGTCTATAAATTTTTTGAGAATATATATATATTATATGCTTACTTATGAAGTATAATAATTGCGTCACAAATTTAAAAGGCTCACTGGCAATATCGTGAGTTTGATCGTTACATCCATAAAAGAGCATACCCTCTATAGCAAGAGCGATATATGCGAGACCTTCAACCTAATTTAAAAGTGTTAAGAAAATTTTATTAGTTTTTTTAGATAATTTTTTTTTTTTATATTTTAAGTCTAATATGTAAAAAGTGAAATACATAAACGTTTTCTATACTCCATATATTTCAGGACACGTCTATATACTGTCTACCATAAGAGTGTATTAAGTTTACCAAAACAATTGAATGCTTTGGAATATATCTATGAACATATCAATCATTAATATTCGAAATTAGTTTGAAATAAAAATAGATTTAGATATATCTGTGTACATGTATTTCTCTGTTAAAAGGTAAAGACCCTAAATAAAGAATATGTCATAATATGGAAGTAATTTAATTTTATCATAAATATCCGTTAAAATAGATTCAATCAATTGTAGGTTCTATTAGTGTCAATCCGAACATGTAGACCTTTAACTGATTTTATGATAGTTAATATCGTTTACCTATCAACTGCTTTGTATCAACTGCTTGTAGTTGTAATCGATATTAGAAACCGATTATTTTTATTAACTTTTTGCTTACTCTGTCATCCTAGCTTATTTTAAACTTCTGACGGGAGTGGTATTATATCGATATTTCAAGAAAGATATACTCAAATATACCCAATTACACAATATAAGCTGTTAAAAGCTATATATCAAAGCTTAGAGTAGAGTAGTATAAGATGCCTATAGAAACAAGGGAAGTGTGTGACTTCTGTATCTGAAGCTAATGGCACTTAACTGGACTTTGAACGTTCTAAAACCGATTGGTGCGAACGATGTTATAGATCTACATATTGGTATCCGTTGTACATTTGCCTCGTACTTGAAGAAGAATACCTTGTTTTTAATACTGCGTGGTAGACTTTTTATCATTGATCACTATTTTTTCTGAAAGTATGAGCGTAAGAAGTGTAAGTGGTGTATGTGGAAAAGATATAGGATACATAACATGAGTTTGAGATTTGTGATAAATTGAATTTAGAACAAAATTGTGTAATAATGCAGATCGGTTTTACATTATATTTTTTTATAGCGTCACAGTCTTCTGAAATTCACTATAGATAGAATAGAATAGAATAGTTATAGTATTATTTTTAACAAGATTGAATCTGAACAAAAATTACAAAGTCACTGTTTAGTAGAGTGTCAATAAGTGGGTTTTGTCAAGACAATCACCAATTTATCAATTTATTTATTTTTGATCACCACATTATCTAATGTTCTTTTGAAAATGTCTCGATATACTAGATATTTTTAATGAGTTTCATAAAAATTTGTTTTTAATTTTAATTTATTCCATATGATAATCCAAACAATACTTATTAGTTGGTATAAGACTTGTATAATCTTCATCATTATATTATATATCAAATGTTAGTATTTTTTACTTCAAATAATTTGAAATATACTTAAAGCTTATAAGTTGATACTTCACACCTCTGCTTATATTGTTTCTTTTGGTATTTATTATTTAAGTTGATAGTAATTTATTGTAATGGGTGTGCAAACCCAAGCTGTTTCAAAAATCGCTTATCGAAATGATAAGAAATAAAATAAAATTAGCAGACTTTGATAGTTTTGTAGGTTAGAGTTTGTTTTAATTAACAAAAAATTGAAAATTAATAAAAGACTTTTATCGGAATACGAGTTTCAATAGATAAGATTAAAAGAAATAAATTTTAAGAATTCTTTTGTAACCGATATAAATTAATTTAAATATATCATCATTTTCTATTAACTACGTGATTCATAGTATATAAAATCTGAAGGAAGAGGTTAAGAAATTTGATAAGCTATGAGCAGATACTCATCTAACTGATTCTATTAGAATCATTAGAGAAAATACTCTAATGAGAATGTTACTTATTGAACAATACTTTCTTTTCTTATAATATTGGACATACCAAAATGGTACATATCATGTTTGTTATGAACTCACGAATCCTAATATATCTTATACATTTAAATTTTAAAAACATTGTTCAAATATTAGTTTTTATTGTTATTTGTTAGAATTTTTTATGATTTTTATCAAAAATCATAACAATTGTCGGGGTTCTTTTAAATGACTAATTTTGTCCCATTAGTATATTTTTTAGTGTAGATTTTTCTTCTTTTTCACAATTATATTATATTAAAAATTGAATATATAATTTTATAATTGTAATTTGCGATTGAATGCATGTGGGAGGTGTATGGGAGGTGTATGATGTCCTAAAAGCGTGATCGAAGTAATATTTCATAAATCGAATCTGTCGCAGCTGTGGGGAAGATGATGACAGTGCCTCTCGTCTACTATATTTTTGCCCAGCTCATGCACAGTGGCGACTAACTACTTTAAGAGCCCCCTTTCTTGAGGATTTTGACCAATTACAGGACCTGACACTAAATAGCATTTTAGGCTTCGCCAAAGGTTCTAGGTGGTTTTAAACCCTAAGTTTTTTCTATATATACTATAACACAATGGGCCAATAGGCCTAAGTGGATCAACTAAGGATCGCCGGTATAACCCAAAGTAATCTAATATTTTTTTGCTATCCTGACTATGCCTATGTTAATAGATTAAATTAATCTGACTGGGTATAAGGCATACTTTGAGTCTTTATTGTCTTTTTTATTTAGTCTCTATTGTTTTTTGGACCCAGACTTAGATACTGTGTGCTGTGTTTCTAGTACTTAAGCATCCTAATCCATTATTATACATTACTAAATTGTTTTTAATTATCAGCAACCTAAGCTAGTAAGGTAGGGTGTGTGTCGATTTTGAACCAAGAATTCTATCTTTTTAGTTTTTATTCAAACTGCGCTACAAACCAAACTATTGTCGCAGGTGTGAAGTATTGGAACTGCATAAATATAGAAATTTTTAAGCGGTGCACAGAAATAATATTTATTTGTTGTTGTTGTTTGTTGATGTCTTTTCTGCCAAGTGGAGGATAGGGCCTTACTTGTTGCTAGGGCTTTAAGTTTAACTTACCAAAATAACCACTGCCATGAAAATGATAAAACATTTTGCAAATCCAACATTTACACCTTTGTTCGCCATTTTGTATCTTTATCGTCTTATATTTATATTAATGCAATTATTTTCTTATTTAGTAATTATTTTTGTGTACTAATGTTGCAATTTCCATAGAGTATCTTAAATGATAAAAAGAAAAACAAAACCTTGTGATTGGAGTTTTTTTAATTATGACTCAATGTACTTTTTAGAACCAAAAGTCTATATCTTATCAAGTTAATGATTTAATAGGATTTTTACTTTTTGCACACAAATCACAAATAAATTAATTAAAATAATTAAATGAGAATATTATTAGGTTTTTATTATTAAATTTCATATATATAAAGTACATATATACTATATATATTTATTTATTATTTTTTATATTATCTATTTTTAATCACACATTCTGCAAATAAACAAATTTCTGCTTGTTTTGAGCTATTACCTCGCTTGCAAACTTTCTCTTTGATACTGAATCTCTAAAGGAAAACCTACTATTGTTTTGACATTTTGGTAGAATTCGCTATACTCCACACTATCCGTCCCACTGATTTGCGATAAGATACTAATAGCGTAAGCGCACAGTGAGAATTTTATCAATAATTACACTTTGCCATAAACAGCAGAAATGGTTTATTTATAATTCCACATGTTTTTTGAGAGTGCAAACATATACATTACTTTTCCGATGGATTTGAAATTATAAAACAAGAACCGAAGAATATTGGTTGGTATCTAAGTATTCATTTTATGTAAAAACACACTTTGATATCTTAATAAGTACAAAAAAGCTGACACTTAACGATAGTAAAACTCGTGCCACAGTGGACAACACATCTTCAGTGTTTTTATATATATTAAATTTATTTATATATAATAAAAACACATATTTATATATATTTATTAAGTACATATTTGGGTTTTTCCTCTATAATAATCTTGAATAAATTATTAAAAAAATTGTTATCTTATAAAAAATAATTTTATACTAGTTATCTACATTCGATTGTTAAAACTTTGAGAAGTTAATAGAGGTAATTCTGTAATGCCTATCTTTTTTGTCATTTTAAAACTAATTATATTATGACTTATTAGTATATTTATAATGACGAACAATTTATAAATAACTGCTGGATTAGAATCATTCATTATTTATTTACTTTTGCTATTTTAATTTAGATCTACATTTTATCTACATTATCTATCTACATTAGATCTACATTTTCTTTAATATACTTGCAATCAGTTATTAGAGATGCTTTAGTGAAGCGTCCAATCCTATACATTTAAATGGAATATACTAATACTATTAGTCACTCTGTTTTTAAGTCCTAATGTTAGTCGTTACAACAGCTAGCTACTAGCTTTTTGGCTACAGTTCAACTTTTCTCCTTTTTTGGATTATGGTGGTTTACTTTACCGCATATATGGACTGCCGTATAACAGATAAATAATAAAGTGAATGCTGATATTGATTTGGGTCCATCAATTTATGAAAAGTCGATCAATCTAAATCGTCGTAACTTTAATATATGAGCATGCGAGGAATAGGATAAAATAAAATATAAGTAACTGTGGTTATTCCATAAAGCGCTTGACTTGTATAATCTCGGCAGGGAAGGTGCTGGGGGTTGAGACATTGGGGAGAGCGTTATGCCGCTGGGTCAGATATCGACAAGCGAGTGTAAAAAGGTATTGTCGACGTAAGTGACAAAGACTGAATATTTGATTCTTGCTGCTACCGTCTTTAATAAGATTTTCGAATGCGACTTAAAGTTTTTGTTGTAGAATATTTTGCTTATCATTTCTAATATTTTGCTATATATCATGCGATTCTCTTGTTAGTTCTAAGATTTTTAAAAAAATTCAGTCAAGCATAAATTGTTTGTTATAGACTTACTTTCTACACATACTGGAGAGTTACTTTCTAGAGGATCTTGATCAGTTGCACGACCTCCCTCTAAAGAACACACATAAGAGTGTAAGACCTCCTTTTATATCTATTTCACTGTTACAGTATAATATTCTCCAAAGAATTTCTATATTTAATACATGATCTTCTGCAAATATGTTTCGCTATTTCATAAATCGGTTTGAAACTGAAATTGGTGAAGTTGTAGTTTTTTGACTACCTCATTGGCAACTTTATTAAAACTCGGGTAAACTTATTCATGTTGTAAATAGAAGGAATTTGTGTATAATATCTTTAAAATAGGCTCTTTTCCAATAATGTTGAATCTTTCTGAAACAGATTTTTTGGTAATAATCTTATTTAAATAATTAATAATTAAACAAAAGGATGTTCACATATAGATTGAAAGATGTTATTAAGATATATTCAAGAATATTAAAATAGTTTTGTTACTGTGAGATTTTAAAAGGCCTTAAGGTTTTTCTACTTAAAATTATATCTTAAATCTTAGCTATACCTCCAATTTTTCGGTTATTTAAATTTAAATACAAAAACATAGTTTGTAGGAAATATAATTTACAATTTTTGATAACATTAAATTGATATTATTAAAAGCTAAAAGAAAGCAAATATAATCAGAAGCAGATAATTTTGATCTTTTTCTACGAATATTTATTATCAACTAAGATTAATGACCGGTGTAAATTTTAATTTTATTTCCTCTTTTTAAAATATATTTTTATGTTTTAAATAGAGTAGAATATTTTGAAGTTTTTTATTATAATTTTGGGTTACGGACTTAGTATTAATCTAATTTCAGTAACATTTAATCGGAGAGGTCCAAACTAAAAAACAAAGTTAGCAGTGGAATCTTTCATAATAAATAAGGTCTTAGCGTCTTGCTGCTACCGTTTGATCACAGCTGTATCTTTCAGGCAGACTTAATGACAATTCGCGTCAATATCTTTCATAGCATTGAAATAGATCTTTAGTCAAACGGGTCTTAATATTAAAATCATCTAAGTTTTCGGTACAGTTGCTTCCCTTATATCGGAGTATATCGGATTTCTCTCAACGAGTTACCTAGGATTGTCGGTCTATAACTTATATGGGTATCTGTATGCATATGCAATTGTATTGCAGATAACTTGCAAATACAGGCACTTTGATTGTATCTTTGATTCACCGTTTTTTAACTGGCTCGGTAAAGCTGTTATTTAGGACATAGCTAGATTTATTGACTTGTCAAATTGGTTCCATTCTACCTAAATACGACGACCGCATCTTTTTTAAAGGAAGCTGTTCGTGTGCTTTTTATCTTTAAGAAAGTCCTTTAGGTGTGTCGTAAGAACAGTGACTTCTTTCGCGTTCTTTAAGATCAGAACGCGAAATTCTTTTTGCTTAAGTGAGCTTTGCTGTCACTCCAACGAAACGTAACCTAACGTGACATACTACTCCGTATGAGTAGTTATTTTTATTTTTTAAGATAAAAAAAGACTTTTTAGGCTTTTTAGTGTCAATTCATATAGTTGTAGATGACATCGCTATTCATTACTATATCAATTGAAAGAAATGCATAAAAGATGGTTTAAGAGATGTTTTATATGTCGCATCGTTATCTGACATGCGAATGATACAAGTATGTTCTAACTATGTATATTTTTTTGGATTGCACGGAATCGCGTAAGATCTTATTATTTATGTAGGTTTCGAAAATTTTATGCTACTTTGTCAATCTTGATGATTACTTTGTGCAGAAGTGAGTCGAACAGCTATAAAAGAAGATAAGATATCTCCTAAAGTTTAATGTTAAATTCAATATCCAAAGTTTGTACAATTATCTTTACTGTATGTCAAGTGTGATGCAAGTTAAATAGCATAATTTCACAAGAATTTGAGTATCTTATAGATAAAAATAAATTTTATTTTGATTATAATATTTTAAAATGTTTGCTTGCAGTCCATAAATAGACAGTGATTATTTTATTTATTTTGTATTTATTTTGAAAATTTGATTTATTTAGAAGCATTGTTTAATTATATTTGAAACGATGAAATTCAAAAATATTTAATTTTTTTAAACTGACTTAGCAATGCACGTAATATCCAATTAGTGGTCCCAATGTGATCCTAATACCTTGATACTTTTATAGGTATATACGTTCATTTTGTACATATAGTAAACATCAGTCTAGCAAAGATAGTTGCTGCAACAATTAGTTCTATTAATAACTTTTAAGTAATGCCTTTAGGATCGTTTTTCTGATTTTAGTTTCTATTCCATTGTTCAGTCATAAATGAAATTATCATAAATGAAATAAGATTTTAACCTATTGAAATTAATTAACCTATTGAAATTTGGTTGATTATACAAAGCTATTTCGAGTATTGCTAAGTATTCATTATCAGTGATCTAAGGTAATACTATAGCTAATTAAATAAGAATTCTAATATTTCCTAAGATAACTGATGATGAGTACTTTCAGCCTTAGTAGAAATTCATAACT